CCCCCCTGGGGGTTGATTTCTCGCCTTCTGTCTCTCTGTCTCTCTCTGTCTGGCAAGCGCATGCGCCCTATAGCAAAAACCTCTCCAAAAAAATTTTCAAAACCTCCAGTGCTAAAGACACACGCAGCCATTCGTTCCATCTTAGAACTCTTGCTCTGCTACAGGGCTACAAGTTGGACCACTAACTAAATCCCCATAAAAATGAGAACTAGGGGACCAGCAGGTGGCGTCCTGGTTAAGGTGCTAGACACAGGAAGCTGACCATGATTTGAGTCCCTGATCCGGTGAGTTGAAACTCACACCAGGCATGTGTGTATGCATGCCCACCCAAAATCCCAAGAAGGGAATGCAGCATAGCCTTCCCCCCTCCCCCGGGGGATAATATCTCACTTTCTGTCTCTCCAGTGAGCACACAAGCCCTATAGCACAAATCTCTCAAATAAAAAACTTTTTTAAAAAATTAGAACTAGTACATAATAGGATGTTCTTCTCCCCAAAAAAAGATGTTGAACTGAAAGATGATCACTTTTCTTTTTTTCTTTTTTTTTTGGGGGGGGAGGGGGGTCAATTCAAGAGTATACATATCTAGGACCGCCATATTTACATTGTAAAGAAGTCATCATATAATTACTATCACATTCAGGGCAGTGGTTATCATGGGAAGAAGGAAAATGAATACACTATATTGGGGCACACAGAGAGATTTAAATTAATATCGTTGCCAATGTTTTAATTTTGATATTGAATTCTTTTTTTTCCCCCTTTATTCATAAGAGAGTGTGAGTGCACAGATGAGAGAGAGAGAGACGTAAGCACCCTCCTCAGGTTCTGGTCACGCTGCTGCGTTTCCTCCAGTCCTCCGGCCTGCAGGATCTCGGGCACTCCTGTGTATGCCCAACACATTTCAGGCTGACGGGCTGGGGATTCAAGCTGCGGTTGCCATGTGGGACCAGCTTCTCTTAAGCAGTGAATTCATAGCTGAGCCTCAGAGAATGCCCCCGTTACACTCTTCATAGTTTTCCTTTTTTTTTTTTTGGCTAAGTTTTAATAGAAAAAGTCTTCAAAAAGTCCATGGAAAGTGTGTATTACCAGAAAACTGCATGGGTTTCAATATTTTTACACCAAAATAGACTTGTACTTTAATTCCGTGTTTCCAAGAAGTCCCTCTGTATCATATATTACATGCAATATTCCATTATAAAGCTCTTTGATACATATTTAAGTGTACCAACCCAAATCACAGCCCTTCTGTTTATATTTGTCATTGCATCTGCAGCATCTACAAGGACAAGCGAGGCCTAGAACGCAGTCCATGATGCCAGTGGAAATGTAAACCAGAAACCGTTTGCACGCAGTGCTGAGAATACAGAATGGGGTTTAAGATGTCTTTGAGGACAAACTGCCACGTCAAAGTTACCAGGACCAAAAGAAATATATTAACTTACGCTGTCTGGTCCGAATGATCCAAACAGCGTTCCTACCACATACATTGACTGCAAGGCCACCAGCCTAGTAAATACCGACACATTTGACAGAGAGGCACAGCATGCAGTCAGGACCAGCTGTTTTGAGTCTCACCCAGGTCCTGGTTTACACACATGGGCATGGAGGATGGATAAGGGACAGTGATTCCTCCTCCTGAAACAGCACTGTATCAAAGCACCCAACTTCTGATTTTCAACAAGAAAAGTCAGCTGTACCACTACCTCCAGCTGGTACGTTTGGCAGTGAGCATCCCTGTAGCCCAAATCCTCAGAAGCAGACAATTTGGTGGAAGGAGAATAAACACAGTGAACAAGCTATCAGGGAGCTATGAACGAGGCAAAAAGGAGTGCAGACTTTATTTTTGGTGATGCCTTGATGTCCTATTTCTTTCTTCACTTTACAGTACTATTTTTGGAAACAACTAAATTTGTATTCAAAAATAACTCTGCTCTAAATTCTTAAAAGGCTTCCCACTGCCCTTTAGGAAAGGCCCTACAGGCAGAAGCAAAGCTTACAAAACTGTTAGCAGTTAAGATTTGTTTTGCCTCTTTTGCATCGTTTTACTGTATTTCTCTCATAATCCATTCTCTGTCCATACAGCAACTCCAGTAAGCCACACTCCCCTTCCTCCAGAGTTTCAGCCTTGCTACTGGGTCTCTGGCTAATTGCTTCAAACCCCTAAAGTGTCACTTCCTCAGGAAGGCGCCCTCTGACCTCCCTGACGTTCTCCTGCTATTTGTTCCCATAAACCTGTCATTAATCCTACCGCGATGTTCTATCCTAATAACGTGTTTTCATTGCTCCACTGCTCTACAAAGCTGAGAGTCCAGTGAGGCAAGGATATTCAGCCCTGAGTCGGGGACACCGCGAGCTTTCCGCAGTGTAGACTGATGTTTGAACGCACGTATGAGTGTCACTGGAAGTATGCTTCAAAGCACTCTGAACTACACGCACACTGAAGTACGTGAGCTACCTCTATGCGGCAAGACTCGTAACCTTGCTTGGCACTCACTTAAAATTCTGCATAACCTAGATTTAGTCCTTTCTTTGGTCTGAATTAATAAAATTCTATTAGACATACTGTTGCATAGCAAAATGGAAAGTTAACTTGTGATTTTTTTTCAAATCTGAGTATAAAGAAATGAATGCTACTAAATTCCAAGACCAAACAAATATAATGATTTATTTGTCTAGATATACTTTTCTTTCCTCTTATATAAAATAGGTATGGTTTTTAAGCAATACCACAATGCCACATGCCGGTCCCAAAAAGCATTGTTTTTTATCTCACTAAAGGAAAAAGAAATGTTGCCAATTACAAAATTTTATTGCTTAAAAGCAATACCTATTTTATATAAGAGGAAAGGAAAGTATGCAAACATTGGAACCAGGAGTTGGCGTAATGGCTATGTCACTGGACTCTCATGTAGTCAACCATCGTTCGAGTCTCGGACCCGGTGGCTTAAACTCATGCCAGGCACATGTGCGTGTGTGCCCAAGATCCCGAGAGGAGAATGGAGGAGAAGGGACTGCAGCGTGGCCATCCCCCAAGGGAGTGATTTCTTCCGTTTTGTCTTTCTGTCTCTCACTGGCTTTCGGGCGAGCACATGCACCTATAGCAAAAACCTCTCCAAAAAAAAAAAAAGTATGCAAAAATCATTAAAAATCATTCCTTTTCATTTCTGTCTTATTAACTAACAGGGCAGTTCTTTTGCCTTTGGGCACTGTTCTTCACATAATTAATAATCTATGAAACATAATCAAATACACCAAAAATCAGTGGTTATTCTCAAGAACACTTAGAAATTCTGCTTTAAAGCAATAGTTTAAAAACCAGAGGATTCACTTCATTTTCTTTTTATATAACAAAATCCCATTTAAAAAGTGACACTCAAGGGGTCAGCAGGTGGTGTAGTCGTTAAGGCACTGGGCGCCCACATGACCAACCATGGTTTGAGTCCCAGACCTGGAAAGCTTGAAACAGGCCAGGTGTAGTGTGCCCAAAATCCCAAGAGGAGAATGGAGGATAAGGGACTGTGGCATGGCCATCCCCCCCTGAGAGGAAATTTCTCATTTTTCTATCTCTCTGTCTCTCTGGCAAGCACGTGCTCTATAGCAAAAAAAAAAAAAAAAAAGTGGGACCAGCAGTTAGCGTAATGGCTATGTCGCTGGACTCCCATGTAGTAGACAGCAGTTCACATGCTGGACCGGGTGGCTTAAAACTCACGCCGGGTGCATGTGCATGTGCGTGCATGCCCAAGATCCCGAGAGGAGAAAGGAGGAAAAGGGATTGCAGCGTGGTCATCCCCCCGGGGGGTGATTTCTCACTTTCTTTCTCTCTGTCTCTGTCTGACGAGCTCACACACCCTATAGCAAAAACCTCTCCAAAAAAAAAAAAGTGACACTCAATTGCAATAAAATTGTATTTATTGGGGTAAATGTGAATGTGTCATACTAAAATATTTTTTTCATCTTCTAAACTCTATAATCTAATACCTTCTTGGTTACTTTGTATACTTTTAAACAATGTGGTTAAATAACTTTTTCTTTAAATATTCTTTCTTAAAAGATAGTGAAGAATTTTAGGAACTTAGACACTGCAACTCACCCTCGTTTTTCATAGGCCTGATATTTCAATGTCTGCTTCTCCGTAAAGGGGAGTTTCTGAAGAGTCATAATTGCATGATATAATATTTCACTAATTCTAAGACGTGCATTCTCCCACATTTTGACATCTCTAAAATCAAGATGTACCTTACAACTAATGGGCGCCTAAAATTTTGTAATTGGCAACATTTCTTTTTCCTTTAGTGAGATAAAAAAACAATGCTTTTTGGGACCGGCATGTGGCATTGTGGTTAAGGGCGCTGGACTCCCACATGGCTGACCCCGGTTTGAGTCCCAGACATGGCAGCTTACTTCCTCATTTGCCCTCTCTCTCACTCTGTTCCTCTCTGGTCAAATAAAAATAAATAAAGTTAAATAAAATAATTCTTAAAAAAAAACAATGCTTCTTATAACTGATGGCATCTTAAGCTAAATGAAATACAGTTATAATTCAAACAATCCTAGAACGAAAACTAGGAGAAGATTCATTTTACCATTCATCTTACTATTTCAGAAAACTATGGCTAGGCTAACCTCAAGAAAACAAATAGCTGGAAGGAAACACTTTTCAATTTTTTAGATAAATGTAGAGATTAGAAGCAAAAACAACAGAAATGACCATAAAAGAGATGTGAAGATTTTTGGTCAGTTGAAGTTTCCAAGCAAGTCAAAGCACGAACCCACCCTCAAGCTTGGTTTATAAAAAGACATGAACACAAGGACCTAGAAAGGGAGAACGCAGGAAGCAAATCATTTTGGAGGAAAAATACTACTGTGTTATTTTTCCTTCCTTAAGGAGGAATCATTGTCACCCTTTAAACAAAAATATGTATAGGTAGATGAAATAATTTTAATGAAATATAAACTTGCAAACATTCTTAGTAAATTAAAAACCAACCTACCAGCATTGTCTTCCTTCTGGCTCAATGTGTTTCCCCTCCAGGAAATCCTAGGATAGGGGCTCCTTTTCAGATCCCCAGTTTTTCGTGTCGGTCTTCTACCTCTCTGTGGCAACAATATTTTCTAATTAAAAGAGTCCTTTTGTGCCACAGGGAGGATTTCTGATGGTATAACAAATACAAACATTATCATAGCTTATCATGAAGTCAATCTAGCCGTGAGATTCTTCAAGAAGTAAATTTGGCTCCTTAGTTTTCAAAGAGAAATCTGATTTTATTCTTTTTTTCATTGCATTTTAAAAACCTAAATTTTCACTGATAAAAAAAAAAAATCACTGCTTCCTTATTGATGTATATAAAAATTCTTATCTTTTATCTATCTTTTCAACAAATCTTTAAACTCTTTTTCTTAATCACTAAAAAAAGGCAGTTTTGAGTGTTCTTGATAATTAACTCATAAGACCAACTTTTTGATACCTGTTTAAAAAAGGAAGCTCCTACCCCTCCCACCCCCTGCCCGCCCCCGTGATCAGAAGAAAGAGGTGGAGAACTACCAGCCCACTTTCCAGCCAGTGCTCATTGGTAACGACTGGTGAGTCTGCTTGTATTATATAATAGGACGTTAACTACACTTCAAGCGTACATTTTTAAAAAGACTAGAAGAAAACTTTAAAAAAAAAAAAAAAACAGCAGGTACTGTCTCTTTGTTAGTAAGATTATGGTTGATGACTTTATGTTTGCTTATTTTTTGTAATGCTTCCCAATTTTTGCATTGAGCATGTAATGTTTTATTAAAAAAAAAAACTAGGTATACACAAGAAGGATTAAAAACAATTATGATTTTTAACACAAAGTTAATCTAAGTATGACAACATCTGACTCTGATATATTGGGTCATCAGGGAAGTCATGACGCATTCTTGCATAGTAAAACAGAAAAACACATCATGACTTTCCCGATGACCTAAGAATAATTTGGATAACCATATTTATATCTTTGGATAACGACCTTTTATAGTCCATATTGTAAATAATCCTGAAGTATTCCATATTTAGCATGTCAACCAAGAAATATATTTGTTTTCCACCGATGATTCTTGATACTATAATACTAACTCAAACCTCGTCTGTCTCAGTTTGCATTTCCTAACTAGCTATTATTATGTTCAACAGTTATTTGACAAAAGGAAACATTACGGCCCCCGCCTTCAAGGTGCTTCTGTACCTCACTGGGAAACATAAGGAACGCATATACAGGGTAGTGTAAGAAAGCACCTAAATCCAGACAGTGTAAAAGAAGATCAGGAGAGGGAGTCTTTTAAAAAATTATTATTATTATTAAATTTTATTTATTCACTTATTTATTTTTAATTTGACAGAGAGAGACATGGAGGCGGGGAGGGATGAGATAGCAAGCCACCAGGTCCGGGACTCAAACCATGGTCAGTCATATGGGATTGTCCAGCACCTTAACCACCAGCCACCTGCTGTTCCCAGGGAGAGGGAGTTTTTAACGTAATTGTGGGAAGTTCCATGTAACTGGGCCTTAAAGAATGCAGAATACCAGGAACATTATGGATGGAGGACATCGTCTTTGAGCAAATGCTCAGAAGCATACCCGGCACAGTCCACGCAATGGGTGGTAAGAGAAACAGTGAGGGAAAAAAAAAAAAAAGAAAAAGAAAGAAAAATAGCAGGAGAATGTGGTGTCTCAGGGATTAGGCCAGACTATGAAAGATCTACTTCCAGGCGACTACAGATCACTGAGTTTGGCAGAAGAGTAGCCTTGGGAATGTGATAAAGAGTATCAGGGCCAGTAGGTGGCATGGTGGTTAGAGGCACTGGACTCTCAACATGGCCAACCACAGTTCGAGTCCCAGATCTGGTGGCTTGCTTTCTCACTTTCCCTCCTCTCTCTGTCTCTCTCTGGTCAATGATATCAAATAATGGTAATGATAAAATTAAAGAAAATAATTATTTAAGACAAAGTGTGTCAATACAGTGATAAATGTAGATTCTGGAGCACAATAGCTTAAGGGCAGAATAATGGGGAGGAAATAAACTGAAAGTATTGGGTTGTCAGGAAAGTCATGATGCATGTTTGCATAGAAAAATACATCATGACACTTCTGACAATCTAACAGAAAGCACTTTAAAAAATAAAAATGGAAGTGAAAAGGGGAAAAATACAACAGATTTTTAAAAATGAATAAAAGACCTGTCCATACCTGAAGGCACAAGGAGGGGTACTAACAAAGTGAAGGAACACTTGGCCACGCCACCAGCACTAGGCTTTATATATTTATACGTGTAACCCTCACCACCCTGAAGTCCTATTTTATGACAGTGAAACACTCAGAAAAGGTGAAACACTGCCATGTGAGTGATAAAGGGGAAATTTGAAACCAGAACAAATCCAAGTCAAGTCTTCCCTTTCCTATGAAGGGCAGCTACGTAAAAAGCTAAAGAGGAAAGAACGATCAGAAGGTCTCCCGGGGTTTTCTATCACAGCTGACTGTGCCTTGGCTCTTCCTGTTCTCCAAAACATTAGCATTCCCTAAAGTTACTAGTTCCATGTCCTCTGTTCTCTACCACAGGGAGACAAATGGGAAATTTAAATATCTTCCCCTGGAGATGTAGTTTATTTCCACAGCTTTAAACAAGGATGGATCCCGAATCACTCTCACCCTGACCTTTCTGTCCTAAGCGTTAGCGGTGCTAGGTAGACATCTCCTGTTTGCCTCTCCAGACCTGTTTTCTACTCTTCTGGACCCTGCTCTCTGTCCCAGGAAACTGACTTCATCAACGCCGCTCCCAGGGTTTTGGATTGGGTTTGATCAATGAAGTACCTGGGCAGGGAGGAGGCATTAGAGGCAGAAGAAGACAACAAGGGAACTCCGTCCCTGGCTCCCGTTTTGCGGTACCGCCCTCCCGCTAGCTTTATCTTTTGACCAAAGGTCCCAGATTCTCCCAAAGGACCCTCCCTCACCAGGACACTCTTTTCTGGATCCTGGTCACTCCTCCTCCTTCCCCTTGGCTTGAGCCAAAGGACAAAAACAGCTCTAGTACTGCTAGCTCTGGGGCACTGCCATCTGTCCTGGTCACTTCGTGCTTGCCCATGTCTGCAACTAGCCCTCTACAGAAACGGTCCTTACGTTAACCTCATTTGAGCATGTCATCATTTCTGTGACGGGACCCTGACTACATATTTGTTCATCTAAAATCACTTAAAAATCCCCACGATGTTCTACTTCAACTCAAAATCAAAATGAGCTTTAACCACACTTACCTGCTTCCCAAAATAGTCTGGCCTTCCTCAAATCTCTAATTATACCATCCTCATAATTTAGGGTCAAAAAACAGCCATATTTTACCTAGCTGTGCCTTTCCCTTTACCTGTCATTGATGTCTTGTTAGACCTTGCGGTGGTGTGGTTTATATAACCCGCTTCCATTCCTGTTACTACTACGTTGCTTTGGTATTTCTGAAGTCATCTCTCAACTCATACTATAATGGCTAGCCTTCTTGCCTCATCTTCTCCTGGACGATTCATCGCATACCCTACGAGATACCAAGTCCACAGTATTTTTCTCTTCGAAACTTTCCAAGTCTTTCTGCTTCTTTATATTCCTAATGTCTATCTCTTGAGAGTCAAGTCACATTCAATTCACAATCTAGACCTCCTGCCCATGTCTGATGCCTTGAATGTCAAGTCAATACCCTGAGTTTCAATATTCCATTCTTTGATCATTGTATTTCCCTTAACCCACACGTCTCCTACCTGCCCATTCAAATCCTGCCATCTGTCTTCATTTACTCTCTTTAAAACATTCCCTAATCCCATCAACTGAACTTTCCTCTTCTGAAAAGTCCCTTCAATATATAAGAAACCCTCAATGGATTCTTTATTGCTTTGTATTTTGAATATAAAGCTCATCTCTACAGCTAGAGTATAACCCCCTGAAGGTGAAGAAACATGTTGAAAATAGCACCTTTCAGGCAACTGTGCAGAGTATGTACTGACACAGTGGAAAGTTAAGAGGATAAATACAGCATGAGTATTCGTTAAGAGATAAGGAAGCAAATTCTACATCCCTTAATCTCCTTAGTTGTCTTAAAAGATTTCTATCAAAACTTCTCTATTGGGCCAGAAGGTGGTGTGGTGGTTAAAGGTGCTGGACTCCCACATGGCTGACCATGGTTCAAGTCCCAGACCTGGTGACTTGCTTTCTCACTTTTCCTCTCTCTCTCTCTGTCTCTCTCTGGTCAAATTGGAAAACAATAGTAATTATAATAAAGTTAAAATATAAACTAGAATAATTCTTTTTAAAAAATGACGGTGATAAATAAAATAAAATAATTCTTTAAAATTGTTTATAAAACTTCTCTATCATTGATTTCACTGGTATAAACTTGTTAAATAGTCATTTACAACCACCTTTTAAAATGTATTATATACTGGAGCCAGCAGGTGGCATAGTGGTTAAGGCACTGGACTCCAACATGGCTGGCCATGGCTTAAGTCCTGGATCCAGTGGCTTGAAACTCACAGTGGACATGTGTAAATACATGCCCAAAAACCTCAGGAGGAGAATAGAGGAGAAAGGACTGTGGCATGGCCATTTCCCCATGAGGTGATTTCTCACTTTTCCTCTCTCTGTCCCTCTGGTGAGCACACAGGCCCTATAACAAAAATCTCTCTCTAAAAAAAAA